ACATAACACTCCTTAGCAGTCAAGGCCTTGCGTGGTCTCATGGGCTGGCTCTTCCAGCAACCGCCACCAGCGGGGTGAGCAACTGCAGACCCTGAACAGCCACGTCCTCTGCCTCCATGCCTTCCTCCCTACCACATTCACCAGCCAATTCTCATCGTGGAAAACAACCCAGTTCTTCTGAGTTTTCTCTGAGCTTCCCCTCCAGGGAAATTGCCCTTCTGTTAAGCTTGTGTAGCACCCTCTGCACGTTTCTGGTGAAGTACTGTTCAGCTTCCTACTGCAACTGTTTGCCCAGTTATCTCCCCCATAACCTGCGCGCTTCCTGAGAGCCTTGCATCCCATGGGCCTCGCAGAAGGCATGACACACATGAGTGTCTAGAACCATTTGCTGAGTGAATGAGTGAATAAAGACAGGAATAAATTTTTTCTTGATTTATTATACACACACCACTGAGTGCTGGCCACCAGTTGAAGATTTATAATTCACATAATCAGTTTTGTTTTGCAGACTTTTAAGAGAGGATTAGAAATAAAAATGTAAGATTTTAAGGAAATCTGTCCTGTCTCTGGCTGGCTGAGTCAAGCATTCCTGAAGGCATGGGTTTACCTTCACCTCTTCCCACCTCACAGCTGAGATTTATATGGTTCCTACTGGCCTAAGCCACTCTTGGCTAGGTGACCCCATAGAACTCACCTGTTTAAAGGCCTTTGTAAATGAGCTAGTGATATAGTTGGGGCGAATGTGCTGAGCACCTCATAAGCATTATCTCCTTTACTCCTTATAGCAATGTCCAGTGAGGTGGGCACTGCTGTTAAACTGTGTCATGAATTGAATTGTGTCCCCCAAAAATATCTGTCAACTTGGCTAGGTCATGATTCTCAGTATTGTATGATTGTCTGCCTTTTGTCATCTAATGTGATTTCCCTTTGTGTTGTATAGTCTATCACTATGATGTAATAAGATGGATTAGTGGCAGTTATATCGATGAGATCTACAAGGTTAGATAGTGTGTTAAGCCAATCCCTTTTGAGATATAAAAGAGAGAAGTGAGCAGAGAGACATGGGGACCTCATACCACCAAGAAAGCAGTACTGGGAGCAGAGCATGTCCTTTGTACCTGAGGCTCCTGCACTGAGATGCTCCTAGACCACAGAAGACTGATGACAAGGACCTTCCTCCAGAGCTGACAGTGTGAAAGCCTTCCCCTGGAGCTGATGCCTTGAATTTGGACTTGTAGCCTACTAGACTGTGAGAGAATTAAATTTCTTTTTGTTAAAAGCCATCCACTTGAGGTATTTGTTATAGCAGCACTAGATGACCAAGACACTTCATTTTACAGCTAAACATACGGAAGTTTGGAGACCTTAGGTGGAGACCAGAGATCCCACAACTATTAAGAGGTGGAGGCAGCACATGAACCCAGGCTGATTCCAGAGCCTAGACTGAGGTCCTAGCCTCTGACTGGAGCGACTGCCTTCCCACTCTGTAAGTTGTCTTTCACTTTCTTGATAACACCCCTTGATGCACAGAGTTTTTAATTTTAATGAAGTTCAGCTTAGTTATTTTTCCCTCGTGTTGTTTGTGCTTTTGGTGTCATAACTAAGAATCCACTGCCTAAAAGAAGGCTTTTAAAGCTTTATGTTTTCTTGTGAGAGTTTTGTGATTTTAAGTCATTGACCAGTTTAGAATTAATTTTTGAATATGGTGTCAGGTAGGGGCTCAACTTCATTCTTTTGCATGTAGAGACCCAGTTGTCCCAGCACCATCTGTTGAATATTCTTTCTCCTTGATTTGACACCCTTATCAAAAATTAATTGGCCATTGATGTATGGGTTTATTTCTAGATTCTCAATTCTATTCCATTGGTTGAATGTCTTTGTACCAGTACCATAGTTCTGATTATTGTAGCTTTGTAATACATGTTGAAATGGGGAAGTGTCAATCCCCCTACTTTGCTCTTTTTCAAGATTGTTTTGGCTATCCAGGCCCCTTGTAATTCTATATGAACTTGAGGATCAGCTTTTCCATCTTTGTAATAAAAAAGACTATTGTCATTTTAATAGAAATTGCATTTTATCTGTAGATTGCTTTGGTAAAATTGACATCTTAACAATATTGTCTTCCAATCCATGAATACAGGGTATCTTTCCATTTATTTTGATCTCCTTTAATTTCTTTCAACAGCGTTTTATAGTTTTCAGTGCAAAGATCTTTCAGCTCCCTGATTAAACTTATCCTTAGGTATTTTATTCTTAGATGCTATTGTAAAAGGAATAGTTTTCTTAATTTCTTTCTCAGGCTGTTCATTAGTGTGTAGAAATACTGACTTCTGTGTGTTGATCTTGTACACCGCAACTCTGCTGAATTTATCAGCTCTAATAGCTTTCTTGTTGGATTCTTAGGATTTTCTGTAGTATTCTGTCATGTGCAAATCAGACATAGCTTTATTTCTCTTTTCTGGTTTGGATACCTTTAAATTTTTTCTTGCCTAATTGCTCTGCAACGACTTCCAGTACAGTGTTGAATAGCGGTGGTGAAAGGGGTATCCTTGTCTTGTTCGTAATCTTAGGGGGAAAGCTTTCAGTCTTTCATCAGAGTATGGTGTTTGCTATGGGTTTTTCATATATGACTTTTATTATGTTGAGGAATTTCCCTTCTATTCCTAGAGTTCTGAGTAATTTTGTCATTTGGATTTTGTCAAGTGCCCTTTCCGCACTGACTGAGGTGATCATGTAGCCTGTTAGGACTGCTATTTGGAAATACTGTGAACACCTTTGCATTCCTGGGATAAATCCCACTTGGTCATAGTGTATAATCTTTTTAATATGCTGGTGGATTCAGCTTGCTTTTATTCTGTTGAGGATTTTCATCTATAGTCACAAGGGATATTGGTCTGTAGTTTTCTTTTCTTGTGGTATCTTTGTCTGGCTTTAGTATCATGATAATGCTGGCCTCACAGAATAAGCTAGGAAGTGTTCCCTTCCCTTTGGAGTTTTACTGGATACAGAATTCTTGTTTTTTTTTTCCCCCAGCACTTTCAGTGTATCATCCCACTACCTTCTGGGGTCCATGGTTTCTGAGGAGAAATCAATGCTTTGTCTTGTTGGGGGTCCCTTGTATGTGACGGTTCACTTTTATCTTGCTGCTTTCAAAACTCTATTTTGGTTTTTGACAGTTTGATTATAATGTGGAGTATAATGTTGTAGTTCTAGAACGCAGATTCCCCCCTTTCTCGGGGTTTGCTAGGTTTTGTTTTCTCTTTCTCCTGTTGCTGAAGAGTGTGGCAGTCTGTTAGCTTAGTGACTTTTCCAAATGATCTGCTAAGCCTTCACCTGGCTGCCGTGATCCCTCCAACTGTTCATCAGAGTGCTGACAAAGCGAGTACTGTCACTTTCTGCCTGTTTATTCCTCCTCCAGCCCCCTCCCAGGAAGGACAGGAGCAGGGAGCTTTTTACACCATCAACTTGCTTCCCTCAGCACCGTTTACCTCTTTCATTGCTCCATGCAGAATTACGGGTTGACGGTTTTTCTTTCAGCGCTTTAAATGTTATCTCACTGCCTTCTGGTCTCCATGACTTCTGATGAGAAACCATTTCTTAATCTTATTGAGGATCCCTGGTACATAGAGTCACTTC